ATGTTGCAATGCCAGAGAAGACACTTCGAAGGCAAAGGCACTTTGAAGCCAAAGGCCCTTCGATGGCAAAGGTCCTTCGACGGCAAACGCCCCAACGATAGCAAACTCCCTATCGATGGCAAACTCCCTTTGATGGCAAAGGCAAGCGCATTAGAAGGCTAAGGCCCTTCGATGCCAAAGGCAAAGAAAAGGCTCTTCCATGTGAAAGGCCCTTCGATGGCAAAGGAAGTCGATAGGAAAGGCCTTTCGATGGCAAAGGCCCCTCAAAGCCAGATGCCCTTCGATGGCAAAGGGCCCTTCAATGGCAAAGGCCATCTGATGCCAAAGGCCCATCGATAGGAAAGGCCCTTCGATGGCAATGGCCTTCGATGACAAAGGCAAAGGCTCTTCGATGGCAATGGCTCTTCGATGACAAAGGCCCCTTCGATGGCAATGGCAATTAGATGGCGCAAACGCCCTTGGATCGCAAACGCCCTTTGATGACAAAGTTCCCATCGATATATATATATATATATATATATATATATATATATATATATATATATATATATATATATATATATATTCTGACATTCAGAAGCTAAGGGGCCGACCATTTAACTTTTGAGGGGGGGGGATTTTGAAAAAAATTTCCTGCAAGGCTATTCTGAACAAAAAAAAATATCTGCACTAACAAACTGGGGAAAAAATATCCTGCCCCAGTATTTGGTGGGGAAAAAAATGTTGCAAAATAGCATGGTTGCCGGGATCGATTTGACCAGTCCGAAAAGATCAGCTGGTTTGATTTTCAGGGACTAGTGTAAGGTTAATTTCTTGTTGGAAAACTCTTCAAAATGGTGGAAAGAGCTTATCTGAGCTTCAAAAAATCAAAAATTTTCCCTCCAGAGGCTACGCACCTTCGGTGGTCGACTCAGTTGTCTCAGAGTCCTAGTTAAGCATGGCCTGAGCTGCTGCCCTATGACGTATACTTATTAGTTAAATCATGCATGTCTATGCTGTAGGTAGCTGCAGTGATACAGACAGGGCTGTAGCGAGGGGGTATCAGTGGGGGGTGGTTAACCCCCCAACTTTTTTAGAATCAACATGTTCAGAAAATCGGGTTGGCCATTCGGAAAATTACGGCAATAATAGTAGAACAAAATTTTAGTGGTTAAACAGAGAAAATATTATATTGTATTGTCAATATAAATTGTAAGCAAATTGTAAATTTCGACATACTAAAACGCTTTTTTCTGACCATCAGCATTCTGTCAAAACTTCCCCAAAGTCCAGCAAATGGCATTTCAAAGACATTTCTATGAAATGGCATTTCGAAATTTAAAAATTTCCTCGGCTCTCCGGCCCTCGCTTTCTGCCCCCAATAAACAAAAGCTCCCTACCGCACTGCTTCTGTAATATGTCTGTGCGTAAAATATGCGTATTTTTGTTTGCAAATTGCGTCTTCATTTTCCGAATAGCAAACATCTTCGTGGCTTACTATGCCATGATATATTCGGAAATTATTTTCGTCATTCGGAAATTTTTGGCCTACACCCCCCCCTACGGCCCTGGATACAGACTTGCCGACTGGAACTTCTCCAGGTCCCCCGCTAATTATATCCTCTCCAGTTAAACATCCTTAAAAAAGGCCCTGAACCAAATGTTATACCTCATAGCAATATGTATTATTAAGAGCAATGCATGAAGCGGAAAACTCAACGTTAACTATCATTAAAGAATCTAAATCGTATAAGCTATTGAAAAAAAAAATGCTGCGAAAGAAAGTGTGGCAAAAAAATCGTCCATGGTGATGGGATAAAAAAATTGCACATAACGATCCCAGAAAAAAATTCCTGCCAGCAGTAAATCACCGAGCCATGTTTTACTAATCGAGTCCAGGGACGCCGGAACTGGTGGCAGGAGGGGGGCGGCTGCCCCCCTTGCCTTTTGCTATGGGGGCAGGGGGGGCAGAAGTGCCCTTTTAGTTGTAAAATACTACGTGATAAATCACATTTCCAACGATGCTTTTTGTAGGATAATCATGAGATTCAGGTAATTTATAGTTTATATTTATAAAAATTTTGGAAAATTTTTGGAATTTAGAAAAATATTTTGAAGAAATGGCGAAAATTTAAGATATGCGGAAAATTTTTTGACTTCACAGAAAATTTTGGTATGTGGAAAATTTGGGGGGGGGGGGGTCGCCCAAATATTTCCATTGAAAAAAAATTTTCCGGTAGATTTTGAAGTTTTGCTATATATAGAGGTGCTCTTGGTGTGCGTCCGCCCCCCTTTGCGTTATTATCGTTCCGGCGTCCCTGATCGAGTCCATGTTTTACTAATCGAGTCCATGTTTTACTAATTGAGTCCATGTTTTACTAATCGAGTCCACGTTTTACTAATCGAGTCCATGTTTTACTAATCGAGTCCATGTTTTACTAATAGAGTCCATGTTTTACTAATAGAGTCCATGTTTTACTAATCGGGTCCAGTCCATGTTTTACTAATGAGTCCAGTCCATGTTTTACTACATGCCTTGTCCGGCACAGAAAAAGCTGCAACCGCCCCACTGATGTATCTAATGGTCCGTTCCTAAGCTAGTCACCTAGCTGTTCGTTAAATAAGCCAGTTAGCAGCTGTGGGTAAACAGTAACAGTCAGATTGATAACAATTGTAGGAAAAGGCCCGAAGGTGAGCTAGTTATTGTCTATGGAAGTAACACTATTCGTCGCAATCGACTGTCCAATTAGCTAGCGTATTAAAGTAGTATATTTCTTTCTAAGAATGAGTATGATTAAAAGAAACTATTTTTTTATTGATTTCAACCATGTTTTTCGTTTTAAAGGGGGGAGGAGATATTCGCTGAGATATTTATATTAGAAACAATTGAATCGTAAAATAGAAAATGGGGGCAGGTCGAGAAAAAGTTAAATTAATACTACACTGTTACAGCAGACAATGATGTATGCACATAACCTGAAACTTTGCACTCGCAGCAAAAATCTTAAAAATAGCCTAATCAATTTACGTACAATCACTATCCAATCTAGTACCCATATGCAGTCATCATGTTTTGACACATCAGCATGGGTTTTAAAAATACTCATGTTTTTCACCATGTCATAGCCTCATAGCAGTAAGAACGTGTTAAAATTACTGTTATGAAAGATAATTCTGCATTTGTCTTTACGAGCCTCGGAGGTATATACAGTTCCTTTCGAGCCTTTCTGGTTAATGTGCTCATGAGTCTGCTTAGCTTTCTATTAGGTCGTGGTAGTTGTGACCATATCATTTAAGATTGCTGATGTTATAGCAGAAAATAGGGCCATTTATACGAGCGAAAATAAGCCGCGGCTTAAATAAGTCGCGAACGATTCGTATAAACAGTCAATTTGCAATAAGCCGCGGCTAAAATGAGCCCAGGCTTGAAAGCTAGGCCTAAATAAGCCGCGGCTTATTGCAAATTGACTGTTTATACGAGTTGTTCGCGACTTATTTAAGCCGCGGCTTATTTAGGCCGCGGCTTATTTTCGCTCGTATAAATGGCCCTAATGTGATTTACAAATATCCTATAAAACACAGATTAAAATTATGAATGTACCGCTCAAACTAGTTAGCGATCAAAACAGATACCCGTATGAGGTATATCATCGTACGAAAGAAGAGAATGGGTTGCAGACAAACAGCTTTATGCATTTTAGCAGTCTAGCACTAGCAATTTAATTTGTCGTGGTCATGCCATGAGCGAGAACGATCTACTTATCCCCGGCTTGTGTGAGAGGAGCCCTCACGGCATTAGCTGCCTCGTACCCAGGCGCTTTAAATAATTACAATACATGAAGTATTCAAGTAGGTAGGCGACGCGCGAAGGGGCTGATGGGAAGGGTACTCTTCCCATCAGCCCCTTCGCCCATCTATCCCCACTACAATACTTCATGTAAACTCGTCCTATGTGCATCACTGTTTTTTTATAAAGAGACGCCTGGGTACGAGGCAGCGGCATTAGCACAAAAAACTGAATAATGAGAGTGTTAAAAGCTGGTGGATTATTGAAAGTTTCGCTTTAAGAGTTAAGACAGTTGTTCAACACCATTAGAGCAAGCAGAATTATTAAATGTTTACTTTATTTAAAAATCAAAGCCTTCACTGGTCTGATAATTGGTAGTGGTTAATAATTTCCTCGTTTTCTGTCAATACTGCGTCACACGGTAAACGATCATAACAAATACAAATTTAACGCACCAGGAACTAGTAAGTTGATACGAATAGTTTCGAAAAGGCTATAGGTAAAACCGGGATCAGGATCCAAGGACCCATGTAAAATCAGCTAGGACACTTGTCAAATTCGACCGGGCGTGGGAAGAGGCAGGAAATCAAATTCTTGGTGGCAGGGGGAAGAATATTTTTTTATTTAGTATTAAAGGTGTGAAAAAACGTACATCATCAAAATATTATTGAATTAAAAGAAATATCGACAACTAAAGACATAATTTGCGGTCTATCTATTGTTAAAAAATCGTTACATCTCTTAGTTGCCTTCAAACCTTCCAGTAAGTTGTTTATCGCAACCTAGACACTGCGCTGTGTCAGCAAGTGCATAAAGTAAGAAAGCGCCGAATTCTAAACATTGCGACGATTGGTACTGATAACATAGGCAGGCATAAATACCGGGCGTCTATTAATGTCATGCGCATGAGTGACTACGTTGTGACAAATAACATAGCAAAGCTTGAAGGTAACTAAGAAACGTAACGAATTTTTAACAACTGACAAAAATCCTGTCTTAATTAGTCGTCCATATTCCTTTTATATTCAATAATATTTCAACAGCACTTTATTAATCCAAACATGTTATATCACAGCCTTTAATATTGAATAATATTACTGATATTCTTGCCCCGCCACCAAATATTTTATTTCCCGCATCCCCACCCCCGTCAAATTTGATGAGGGTCCTGGTTTTACATGGGTTCTCGGGTCCTGGTCCTGGGTCCGGGTTTTACATATGCCTGTTTCGAAAGCATGCCCATTCCCGTAACGGAAGATAAAAGTTAAGTGACCTCTTCGTTATTAAATAAACCAGTAGCACACTGTGGGCTGAACAATTATAAAATAACCAGTCAAATTGATACGTACAACAGGAAAACGTTCGAAGGTGAGGCAATTATTGTTGATACATACACACTATTTAATTGTTGCTTTCGACCGTCCAATGAGCGATTGAGCGCACTCTAGTAGTATATTTCTTACTAAGAATGAATATGGTTAAATTAATACTACACTGTTACAGCGGACATAATGATTTATGCTACATACTTGTAATTTGTACGTGCAATGCAATAGATGCGCAAGATATTACATGTCAGTACTGATGTTTAAATTATTCTCTCTACTGATCAGCCTCTGAGGAAAACATGAACATTGGAAATAAGTGAGTTGTAGTTTTGCATCAGTTCACAGACGTGCGGTTCAACTTGCAGAGTTGCAGTGTTTATTTACTTAATTAAGATAGTTCTGAACGAAAGTAGTTTGGCTAGCCTGTGTAGCTGGCTGTGTTAAGGCACTGTAGTTATATTAACTATGGTTAAGGGTTGTGGTTGAGGCGCCAGCTACGTACGCGTCTACGCATGCTATAGCTAGATATACGCAAACCTCTATATAAATCTTGAGTATGTACTATGTACTGTACAATAATTTCCTACATATTATAGGAATGTAGTTATTTTGACGTCTGTATGTGAATAGACTAATAGCATTTGTAATCCATTACATTTTAGCATCGACTCAGCATGCAATATATACACATCCCACATGGAAATTCTGTCGATTTAATTTTGCATGTATTTGAAACAAAAAATCAGTCTCCAAAAGATTCGAGTAAAGGAAACGCAGCACACAGTATGATCGATTATTTGAATATTGATCAATCTTGAGTACCGACGAGATTTTTTTACTAAAGTATTTGACTAGCTATACCATGACAATTACAATCATCACCAACTATACAACTGTGAAGTGTGTGAAACAGTCAAACACAAGGTAAAACAGTTTGCTTGCGATGCAGACACGTTTAGAATTGGCAAAGTCTGCGAATCCGCGAATCACGTGCATTTCCCCGCAAAATCGGGGACGGTGATTGTCGATAAAGAGAAACATGATCAATATGACTACCATATCAAATACGCTCGGTAACAAATGTTGACATATTGCTCGTGTTGAAAACTGCATGACAAAATCTAGTTTAGATTGTCTACTTCGCATGAATCTCAAAAAGGGACCAGGGGTCACTGTCGTCAGGGATATTTTAAATAATGTGATGATGTAGGTTGGTATTATGATTTATTACGATTATAAGAAGGTTTTGCTTGAACATTACCATAGAAATTGTGCAAGGAACTAGACAAGAGTGTGTCAATGACGTTATAACTGATTAACGTATACAGGCCTTTTTTCGATATCGTAGGCGTATAAATTTGAAAATAACTGAGTAAAGTTGGAAGCGTATATTCCACAAAGTAATAATCTTGAACACTCTGTGCCATTGTAGGTATATAGTGCCAATAATAAGAAAGCTTTCTTTCATTGGGAAGTCAGGTGACTATAAGGGCCTTCACTCGAAACGTTGAAGTTCTCCGCCTTGTATTTTTCAAGTAGTTGTATGATTCAAACTACCTTCAAAGTGCAAAACGTCATTTGCGAGTTTACGTATTTCTTTATAGTGTTTTTTTTTCGAAGAAAACTGAGACTAAAATAGTAATTTACGGATAATTTAATCAACATCTGAATTCAAATATCAAAATAGTAATGCACTGTGAACAGTTTAAAAATTATATTACTATACGGCAAAAAAATGCAGTCGTTGCCGCAATGATCCACGGCATTTTGTTCTCCCTCTACGGCAATTGCCGCGATAAAATTCAAGCCCTGAATTCAAGCAAAACATCACTTATTTTGGAAGATCAATAAGATAAATTATAATACATATAGTACCAAACATAGCAAAAGAAAGAAGAAGTGATAAAGTGAAGTTCGTTACGTACATAAGTAAACATCATTTGATTAATGATTTCGGACTCATAAATTAATACTATTACTGTTGTGTACATTGTCATTCTGTTCATGCAGCTGTAAAAATTAAACTACTGTCATTCTGTTCATGCAGCTGTAAAAATTAAACTACTAGTAGCACATTAAAGTACATTGTCACTTACAAGTATAAATGCAAATGACATCTAAATCTAACATGTTAACAGTTGTACTTTGTCTTTTTACTTATTCGATATTATTTGATTGTTAATTTGCGGCGAAATTTTTTTAAATTTCCATGCGAGGACACGCTCCCGTAGCTCCCCACGCGATTTTTTAACTATCAGTCACAGCCGGCTACTTTTTTTGTACAACCGCCTACTTCAAATCATTCTGAAACCCCTGTGTATCCCTATCAATCCAAAGCTTTCTTACCATGAGAGTACTTCAAAATATACGGAATACCTTTTAGGACACGATCGGAGCATGATCACTTTAATAAACTATATTCTTCTAGGTGTGAAACTCGGATTACAACAGTGCCGATTGTATTGTTCAACTGAGAAGCCAAGAACGATATGATCCTGCAAGATTTAGCTGGGATTCTTCTGTCTTCTTTATCCTTCTTCGCACATGACTTTTTTCGTCTGGTTGTGAGAAACTATAAACAGCTACGCCAACCAACGGAAGAGGAAAGTCGATCAAATTGCAGAGGAATAACTAACTCTCTGAACTCTATCATCCACGAGCGAATACCAAACAATCCTGGGTACGGCACAATCCCTTCTCAAGA